GCAAGTGGGTCCTGAGCCCCCGCGGTCCCAGAGCTCACACGCTGGGGTGAGAATCGTTGGAAACCGCCAGCCAGTCCTCCAGAGAAAGGTAGGGCTTTCTACTCCTGTAAGAGCTCCCATCTCGACCACTCCCCAGGGCACTTCTACCCTGTCCTGTGGGGTCCCTGTGATGTTCGAATAAGCCACCATTTAAGGTCAAAGGTCAGCATGCGCCCAAGGACAAAGGTGAGGAGGTAAGGAAGGGGGGAGGCAGGAACAGGCAAGGCAGGGGGGAAGTGAGCTACGGGATGGTGCACGGAGGGGAGGGAGGCAAAGGATGAGTTGAGTGAGGCGATGCACAGATTGCTTCCTATAAAACTCCAGTCTGTTCCGTGTACCTTCATCCGGCTATGTGCAATAAAACGCTCTGGTCTTTCCATGTGGTACGTCCATACAAGGGACGACAGTTGGCCACAAGAAGAGATGATGGACTGTCCCGTGTGACAACGTGGATGAACCTTGACAAAGCATGTAGAACAAAAGACCCCTCCGGTCCGATACCATTCCCGAGAAATGTCCCATGCAGAGACCACTTAGTGGCGGTTTGGGACAAGGGGTGAGAGTAGAAAGTGGTGCGGGGGTGGAGGGTGGGGGGTGGGGAGGTGGTGGTGCTGGGAGCAGGTGTCAGGATCTCTTTCCAAGGGGACCGAAATGTTCCGGAGAATGACTGGGGTGACACTTAGACGCGTCGTGCCCTCTGAGGAAGCCTCTGACCCCATGTCTCTGACATGTGACTCACTGCTCAGTAAAGTAGTCTAAAAATAAATCACAAAAATAAAACCCATCTCAGGGCCATCCTCTGCAAGGACGGAAGTGGATAGGCTTCCGTTTCCACGCAGAATTCCTCATCCCTCCATCCTGGGTTTCCTGTTGTCAAGGAGCTACGACCCTGACACACACACCCCCCAACCTCCAGGGCCCCCAGGCAGGGAACTGGGCCTCCCCAGAGAGAGCGTCCTTGTTTGCTGCTTGGGCCACAGCACCGTCCCAGGAAGGGTGGGTGCCCACTCCTCACTGAGGCTTGCAGGAGTTTAGTGGCTTGTTCAAAGCCACAGAGCAAGGAAGTGGTCACACTGGGTATTTGAACCCTGGACTCCACAGACACTTGAGCAGCCTCCAGGTAGTTCCCTGGCAGACACCTCACTTCCCCTGGGTGAGGCCCCGGGCTCGCCTGTCAATGCAGGCTGGTGTGTGGCTGGGATGCCCACCAGAGTCCTCAGAGCTCCCAAGATGGGCAGGGGTGGGGGTGGGGTGGGAAAGGGCTGGCAAATTTCAGTGCGTGGAAAGAGGCCTTCATGTCAGAGCAGTCTGATCGATGGGGAGGGTGCAGCACAGGCCATGTTTGGTTTCATGGTGTGTGGAGTCGACTTGAGTGTGTGTGTGTGTGTGGTGTGAGTGTATGTGTGTCATATGTGTGATGTGTGTGTAGTGTGAGTGTGTGTTGTGAATGTACATGTGTATGTGTGTGTGTGTGGTTTGTGTGTGCATGTGCATGAGTGTGAGTGTGTATGGTATGTGAGTATGTGTGTGTGGTGTGTGTGAGTGTGTGGTGTGAGTGTATGTGGTATGTGTGAGTATATGTGTGGTATGTGCATGAGTGTGTGTGGTGTGACTGTGTGTGCTTGTGTGTATGTGAGAGGGTGTGTGCATGTGTGTGAGTGTGATTGATTGTGCGTGGTGTGTGTGTGGTGTGTGTTTTTCTGTGTGCGTGTGCATGAATGTGAGTTTGTGTGTGATGTGTGTTTCTCTGTGTGCGTGAGTGTGAGTGTGTATGGTGTGAGTTTGTGTGGTGTGTGTTTTGTGTGTATGTGCGTGAGTGTGTGTGGGGTGTGTGTGTTTCTGTGTGCATGTGCGTGAGTAAGAGTAAGTGTGTGTGACTTGATGGGAGCCAGCACCCCTTGGACCTCGGGATTGAGAGGCCACCTGACTGGAGACATTTGGGAACACCAGGGGAGCTGCCAGCAGCGGCCTGGGCCTGCTTGCTTGGTGGGGAGGGGAGGGGGCCTGCAGAACGAGGTCAGACAGGGAAGGAGGATGGTCAGACCGGGAGGCTGCAGTCGGCATCCCCGGATCTGCAGACTTGGCGAGAGAGGTGGTGCGCCCCCACGTTACAGACAATGAAACTGAGGCTTAGGAAGTAGAGCCCCATCGTCCTCCCAGACTCCAGGCGACCATGGGGAGGGCAGCCAGGCCCTGGGTCCAGCAGCTCTCCTCAGTGGGAGCAGGGCCTCCTGCTATAAATACGGTGCTGACTCCGGGCAGGTAACCTTAGCCCCCAGCCTCGGTCCAGGCGCAGGGCCAAGAACCAGAGTCGGCCGCCTGCTGTGGTGCTGCGGAAGCTGCAGAATTTTCCAGACACCCTAACAAGGTACCACATTCCCCAAGGCACCAAATGGCTGGAGGTGATGTTCAGTTCCAGAGAGCCAGCAGGCCTGTGGGGGCCAAACCCAGACGGAGAGCAGGGTGCGTTCTGGGCCAGCAAGGGAGCTGGGTTGCCATCTACCTACAGGGTGACCTTGAGCAAGGCCCGCCATCTGCCGAGCCTCAGTTTCCCCGGGTTCATGCCACCCACCTCTGGGGGTCAGGACACAGAACTGGCCTGTCACGGGGTCCTTTTGTTTAGCACTTTGCAAGGCTGCTGGTTTGTTGGGGGAGCGGTCACAAGAGCAATGATAACCACACGCCTACCACCGTTGTAAGTGAGCCAGTTACCACGCTAGCGAGGGTGCTGTGGCACTGTGGGCTAAACACTGCTCTGTCTAGAGACTGCTGAGCCCACCAGGGGCTCCGGGAGAGGGGAGGAGGCCCCCTGCTCCTGTAAAAATGACAGTGGGAAGCCTATGGGCAGTTCTGCTCGGTCCCACAGGCTCCACAGCAGTGGGAACCAGCTTGATGGCCAAGGGTTGGGGGTAGGTTGTTATGGGCTTGTTTGCAACTCTGGGAGCTAATAGATGCTGGATGCTCTCATCTCACAGACAAGCAAACTGAGGCCCCGTGCCCTTGGGGAACCCAGCCAGGTCTCAGAGCAGGGGAGATGGGGAACTTGCCCACTCTGGTTAGAGAAGGCAGGGCGATGGCCTGGGACCACCACTCTGTGGGCTGGGAGTCCTGGCAGGGTCTGAATTCAGACCACAGACTCCAAAGGACCCCTCTGCTCACACACACACACACACACACACACACACACACACACACACACCTCATGAGCAAGCATGCACCCCTGCACAGGCCACTTTCTACCAGCCTCCCCCCCACCTCCACCCCACCCAATCACCAACCCAGTGAAGCAGAGACCAAAGACCACAGGTTTTCCCAATGGATGCCCAGCCAGCCCAGCACGCTGACCCTCCTCCTGAACCGGAGGGACAGTGAAGCCCCGCCCCACCCCCAGGCCACAGTCAGCGCCTGTGCCCCCACCGGACGGGCTAATATTGTGCCGGTCTTCCTGAAATACCCGCTCCCGCCGGCTGCTTTTACAAGCTGCTAAAACCAGCACCGTGTCCTGGGCAGAGGGAGAGCTATTCCGGGTGTGGGGCAGGTGTGGGCAGGACAGCCAGAGAGGGCCAGCCCGCCTGCCCGCCTCCCTGCCTGTGTCCCTACTGCCTGCCTCCTTCCTGGGAACCACCACGTCTGGTGTCCAGAGGAATGAGAGGTCAGTTGGACCTACCTGCTGGTGCCCTGTTTCAACACGAACACCCACACCCACACCCACACCTACACCCACGCACACAAGAGAGTAGATCTGTCTGTGTACCCTGTCCCCAGCACACACTCTCGAGAGGACACACAGGAGAAGTCAGGCTGGACCTGCCAGTGTCCCTGTCCCAGTACACACGCATGCACATACACGCTGGGCTAACTCAGACCTGGCCAGTCCAACACTACCCACGATTCAGGGCCATGCCACACCGACACCCCTGTCCACCACCCCCTGGACAGCCAGCGTGCCCCTCAGTGCCAGAGGTACAGCTTCCTGCACAAGGACTCCGAGGGCAGAGACATGAGGATGTTTCCATGGGGGCCGCTGGGGAGATGAGGCCTGGGTATACCCACCAACCATCTCCCTTGGGGCTCCTGCCCCACCTGCTGACCCTCCACAGCCACAGCTGGGAGTGCCTGCCCACCTGGCCCCACATGTGCCCACTCTGCACTGGGCACCGGCAGACCTCTCCCATGGTCTTCACTCATTGCCCACGACCACTCCATACCACGCCGTCCATTGGGGACACTGGGCTCAGGGGTGAAGCCACTGGCCCAACGTCACCAACCTGGGAGTAAATGGATGGGAACTTGAACCTGGGCAGCCTGACTACAGAGTCCCTGAGGTAACCCCTGGAGCAGGATGTAACCAGCCTGCCCCCCAGCCCAGGGGGGCTTCAGGGGACTTCCCCTCAGAGCTTGCCCTTTACTGGGTAGGAGCCAGGGGGTCTAGCCAGGGACAGAAATACTCAAGCCCTCCATAGCCCCTCGCCGGCAAGAGGGCAGGGCTTGTGGACCGAATTTGAGAGCCCCTCTGACCCTGGCTGGACCCCTGTCGGGCAGGAGGGTGGGGCCTGGGAGGCAGAGCTGGAGGGCCAGAGGGAGCCTGCGGGATCTCTACGGTGTGCAGGCAGTGCTCAGGCCGGTGGCCCTGAGCCCACCCAGGGGCCATTCCTGCCTTGACCTCTGAGGACCTATGAGGGCCACTCCAGCTCACAGCAGGGAGCCTGGGAAGGGTTAACACCACCATGTCCTGCTCTTGCCCCGGAGAAGTCGAGGGGTGCTGCAGACGCTCCCAATGAAAGCCCAGCTTCCTGTCCAGAGACGAGGCCCCTCACATCAGCCTGGAAGGCAGGGGTCAGCTGTGCCCGGCCCCTGCCCAGCCCCAGCTGCCTGCAATCCTTGGGGGCCATGCCCTTGGCAACAGGAGCCTGGGCTCTGACACGGAGCCACGGCTCGGTAAATATAGCGCTGCCACTCACCAGCCGAGGGGCCCTCGCCGTCCGACATGGTGCGGGGACAGTGGGCCGGGGCACGGCCTGCAGGGACGAGAAGCCCACGGGGGTGGCTGTCTCCCACCAGCCGGACACAGGGCTGCTGGCCCAGCTGCACGCCCAGCCCCCGGCATGTCCCGCCCCCCATGCTCCGGGACAGATAAGAATGCTCTCCGGGCTGGGCGCCCACACGATTGGTGGATAAATCTGGGCACTGCCCTCCCTGCCCAGCCTCTCCCGGAATGCTGCCTGAGAAGCCACCAAGCCAGGCACTGGGTCAGCCCCAGAGACCCCCCACCCTGGGCTCAGGGAGCTGCCTTATGCAGCCAGTAGGGCAGCCGTGGGGGCACCAGGGGATGAGCTGCCCAAGCAGTGCCTGCGTGTCCTGCCCAGCTCTCTGGAGCAGCCACCACTGTCCACCCTCTGTGCAGCCACCAGTGAAGTGGCCTGCCCAAGGCCACACAGCCGCTGAAGGACGGGACCTGGAGCCAGGCAGCCTCCAAGACCAGGAGGGGCATGGCCCTGGCCTCTGCTGGGCTGACCCAGGGTAGCCAGCACTAGCTGATGCCTGCTCTTACTGACTACCTGCTCTGGATCTGTCTAGGGGGGTAGGAGATGTGGGGATGGCTTCCCGGGGTAGCTGTGTGGTTCTTCCTGGACAGAGTGGGTGCTCAGGAAGTCTGAACCCAGAGAAGACCCCCGCAACTACTAAACACTTAGAATGCACTTGCTGTGTACTTGGGAGAAAGCCACCCTCCCCCCACTTTCTGGCACCCACGAGGGGAAGGGAAGGTGTAACCCTGGGCCACAGCCAGCAGCGGAAGAGGGGTCCCCCCTGCACCCTCCAGGGCAGCATCAACCCCACTTGAGCCCTGCCCTCCCAGGACCAGAGGCTGCCTGAGTCTCTAGCAGACACAGAGGGAGGGGCTTCAAGAGGAGGGGTGAGGGGCTGCTCAGGACCCTGGTGGGGAAATCTAGGAGGTCTCCCTGGAGGACCTGGGATTCTAGTTCTGTTTGGGGGTGGGGAGCATTCCAGGGAGAGGGGGCAGCAGGAATCAAGGTGGGCGGTCCCAACAGGGCCAGGGTGTGGTGCCCCTGACGGGGATAGTCAGGTGGAAAGCTTGGTGTGGGCAGGTGTCCAAGTGGGGCAAGCCAGGGAGCTGATCAGAGGGGAGGATGGGCAGATGCTGGTGCTGAAGGTCCAGCTGCTTCTGAGAAGTGAGAAGGCAGGGATCAGCACCCAAGGGTGTCCCAGCACCAAGGCCTGTCCTACCCCCAAAACCAGGGAGCAAAGGCAGAGGCAGGAAGACCCCCAAGTTTCAGAGTAGGGTCCTTTGAGGGGGTGGAGGGTGGAGCGTCTGTGAGTTACAGCCTCACCTCACCTCCCACCCTGGCTGCCCAAGACCAACAGACAGAATGACCAATAGACAGGATTTTGTCCCTATCAAGTGGCTCAGCCTCTGGGCTTTGGCTGTCTGCTGCCTTGGCCAGAAAGTCCCCTTGCCCCTGCTCCTGCCCTGCCCCCTCCTCCCTGGCCAAACTTGCTTGACTGGATTCCCATCACCAGCACCCAGACCTGACTGTGGAGGAGCTACCTGGTCCTGGCTGCATCCATCTCTTGATTGGCAATTGGTCATGAGCTCAAGGTTGTTGGAGGCATGCGAGCAGGACCTGGCCAGCCACTGGGCAGGCTCAGCATCATGCAGGTCCCATGAGAGGCTCTGGACTCCTTCTGGGGACATTTCCTAGTTCAGCTCTGAAAGCCACCTTGGTCCAGGCAAACCAGGACCATTGGTCATCCACCCCCCACCCCAGACAGCTCTCAGCCAGTGGAAGCATGGCTGCTCAGCCCCGTGGGCATGGGGTGAGGCCAGGGGGGGTCAGGGCAGGTGGGGGAGCAGGTTGCTCCTGAAGCCTCACTTGCAGGACAGGGCCGAGTCTCACCTGCCCCAGCACAGGCTCCTGGGCGATGAGGCTGGGCACAGGCTCAGGCCCTCTGCAACTGTCTCAGCAGGGACAGCTGACTCCCACAGGGAGGGAAGGGCATCTGAGAGCCCACTGCCCACCTGTCTCTCTGCTGAGTAGGGCAGGCCGTGGCCAGCCCTGGGCAGGAGGTCTCGGAGGTGCTTGGAGAGGGGGTCTACACTGCCCAGAGTTTCCAGACCCCAAGCTGCTCCTCAGTCAGAGCTGCAGGTGGGGGATGAGGACAAGGCATGCCTGAGGTCTGCTGGCCAGCTGCCCAGGGTCAGAGGCTGGCTCGGCAAGGCCTTCGGGGTGCCTGGTCCACGCCTGCCCCATCTCCAGATTTGAGGTGTCACCTGTTTTCAGGGCAGAGAGCCACAGAAAGGACTCTTGTCTGTCTGCCTGTCCCCTTAGCCCACCCAGCCCAGCCCAGGTCATTGCTGGAGGCTCCCTGGCTTGGGCCACTTCCCCTTCCTGTCCTGGCCCTTCCTGTTTGCTTCACTGTGGGAACATGTGTTGGGAAAACAAAACCAGATGCCCCTGCTCCTGGGGCAGCGGCACGCATGTGTGAGCATGTGTGAGTGGGAGGTCGCATGTGTGTGCTTGTGGGGTGTGTAAGACAATGCAGGTGAGTGTGTGGGGGCATTGGGTGTGAGCAGGAAAACAAGCGCCATGACCCCATGTGTATGCGTGCAAGTCTGGATGAACGTATGTGCACACGTGCATGGGCGTGTGTGTGTGTGTGTGACGTTAAGTGGGAGTGTGGCATGTGCATGTGCGTGTTCTGTGTGTGGGTACATGTATACGTGTGTGAGAGAAGGTTGTGTGTGATACTGTGTGCACACAATCCTGGGTGTGCACACCTGGGCATGGGAGTGTGTGTTCACATGAGAGTGACCTCTGGCTCCTGCCAGCTCACCCTGCAACTCCGAGCCTACGGCAGTGCACCTGTCCCCAAGTGTACCCTCAGGAGCCCTCCCTCACTACTTGTGTCTCAGATGAGCCCTACCACTGCAGCTCAGACTCTCCCAAGAGTGAGCCACAACCTGAGGTGGGGGTGGCAGGGCACGGTGAGCCCCGGAAGGGGAGGCAGCCTTGCTGGGCAGGAATTCGGTCTGGACAGTGGGGAGAACGGAGGCCGGGATAGCCGGCTGCTGGGGGGTCATTGGAGTGGGCGGTCTGGCAGCCTGTGCCCCTGCTCGGAGCAGCGCTGTACAGGGAAGATCCAGTGGGGTCACTGTGACAGCCCTGATGTCCCCACTGTCCCAGGAGATGGCTCTCACCTCCTCTCAGGGAGGACTCTGGAGACAGCTGTCGCTGCTGACCTGTATGCCCTGGGCTCCACTGCTGTCTAGTACCACCACCCCCGGCTGACTGCTCTCCTCAAGACGCCCCTGGGAGTCCCAAGCATCCCACCTGTTGCCACCTGGGAGTGAAGGGCTCCTCTGGGCTCCCACTCTGGTCGGTCAGCAGCACCCCCTGCAGGAAGGGTTCTGGGAGGACATGGTCAGGCGGCATGGTCAAAAGTGGGGGTCCGAGGGCTGTGCTGGGCAGCAGGACCATGTCCCCTCCTTGACCTGAGAGTCAGAGTCCAGACTGTCCCCTGGGCCTGAGAATTAGCAGCAGTGAGCAGGGGCCTCTCTGGGCTCAGGCCAGGGTGGGAGGACGGACAGGGGTGCCTCCATTGGGTGGACCCCCTGGCGTGGGCAGGTGGGTGTGACACAGCAGGCCTCGAGGAGCACCGGTCCCTTGTGTCCTGCCTGAGGAGTGCTGGCCCACCTTGTCACTTGATCTGGACAGGCACACACATGGACACATGGACATGCTGACACACAGACACACTGACACACACACACTCAGATATAAGGCTTACACAGCCAACACCCCCACCAGAGAGACAGACACATAGAGACCCATGGAGACATCGGGGTGCCTAGAGTGGGTCCACAGACACATACAGGTACACTCAGTCTGCAAAGGCACGTGCACACAGGCTCCCATGGCTACTCACAGAGGTGCATACCCAGGCTTGACACACAGGTGCACACACACAGACACGCAGGTGCTCACACAGGTGCACACAGGCTCATTTGAGCTCCATCCAGCACTGTTCCTGAGCTAGTGTCCTGCCCTCGGGAGCTGCCCCTCCCAGCCCCAGCGCAGAGCTGGCCAAGGCAGGCTCGGTATTCCAACAAGTCCTAGCGGCTGTGCAGGTGTCCCTGGGGCGAGCTGAGGGATGGGCAGCTCCCAGGCTCCTTGGGTGGGGGTCAGGGATTAGCTGTGCCCCAGTCATGGGTGTGCCCCAGGGCAGGTAGGCCTCTGCCAGACTGCTGGGCTCACAGCAGGGGTAAACCCCCCAGGGACAGGGACCACCCACTCACTGCCTCCCCGGGCCTGAGACCTGAGCCACCTCACCTCCTGATGCCTGATGGGTAGTACAGGGCTCAGGGAGATAGGCCCGTGGGACCGGGGAAGAAAAGGCCCCACCCAGGAGGACTGGGGTGGGGGGGGTCCTTGCTGGGGGCGTGTGGATCAGCACTGTGCTCTCTCCACTATTGCCTCCAGGTTTCAGGGGGTGATGGGACGCTCCCATGAGTAGTGGAGTGGAGGGGGGAAGGCTCTTTAGAGTGTCCCCAGCCTGGCCCCCCTCATCTTGGTTCTTTTCTCCTCTCTGGTGCCCTTTGGGGGGGTCCCCAACGTGACAGATGGGCTCAGACCGCCTGGGCCCCTCTGGCGGCCTCGCCTTGGACCAGCCACCGGGCATGGCCTTAGTGGGCCACAAGCCAAACCAGATCCATTTCTGGAGAGGGGGTGGGCAACCGCGGGGCCACCACCAGCCTCCACCAGCGGACCACCAGGCGAGTCCGGGGTCAGTTCTCCGTGGCAGCACCTATGAATTGGGGGCGATGGTGCGTGGCCAGCGGATGCGGGAGATGGCCTGGGAACGTCCCCGGGCAGGTCAGGTTTGCGACCTCACTCTGCCCACACCATCGAGAGCTGGGTGTGGTCCTCGGCGCCCCTAGGAGTCAGGCCTGGGCACCTCGGGTGGACACGGGAAGGCACCGCCCTTAGTGACTGCTGCGCCGCGGGCGGTCAGAGCGCTGCGTCTGCGCGCCACCATGCGGCCAGTCCCGGAACTGCGCCGCGGCCGCTCCCCGTGGTGCCCGCCCTCTCTCCCTCCGCGGGGCCTCTTCCTCATCCCCAAGGTGGCAATCAATAACGACGCTCCCGCGAGTAATAGTAACCCACGCCAGGGCTAGAGCAGTGACCTCCAGTCTGTGTACATTGGGGCCGCCTAGGCGCTTTTTGAAACTCTCATTCTTGGGGCTCCATCCCAGAAACTCTGACTCACTGGGCTCACCCTCCCATGAAATCCCACCCCACCCTGCCAGTCCCCTGGCCTCATGGCCTGCTGTGGCAGGGCCTGTCCACCGGCGCTGGGAGGATGCACTGGGCCAGAGGTTCACATCCTGACCAGGCAGTGGCTCCACTGGGCTGTGGCTTCTCCAGCTGAGAAGTGCACAGCATGGGTTGGCTTGAGTGGGATATGAAGATGTACGGGGGTGGGAGCGGGGCTCGCAGGTGGTGATTCTGGGAGCTGAGGTGGGGGGGGTGGTCTCCAGCCTTTTAAGCAACAGTGTAAGGCATGTGAGGTCTGTCCTGTGGGAGCTGGTGGGGAGGGGGCAGTGGAGGCAGGGCAGGGCTGAAGGCCCCAGAAAGAGATGGGAGGGGGCAAAGGTGTAGGGGAGGGGGCTGCAGGAAGGGGGTGCCAGAAACCCTGGCGTGAGTCCCCTCCATCCTCACCTGCACCTGGCCTCCTGAGCCTCAGTTTCCCCAGATGCTGGGTGGGGTATGGCAATAACCAGCCACGTCAGCTAGGTCATTAAGGCCTCTGGCTGGTGGGGAGGGGTCCCCCGTGAGGGTAGAGCTAGGGTTCCTATGTCTGTAGGGGCCTTGGGTGGGCCCAGGGGACAGAGCCAGTATTCACTGACCTGGGACGGAACCCGGAGAAGGAAAGGTGGGGGTGGGGGACGGACATGGAGTGGGGAGAGGCTCCATCCAGAATCCTGTGTGGCCACCGGGGGAGTCCAGACCTTCTGGGACCCCAGGACCCAGCCTCCCAGGTGCCTGACTGGGGTTTAGCAGGCTTCCTAAGGCAGGCATCTTCTGGTAACTGGGGGTCCAGCCACAGAGCCACCTCGACCCCCCATTCTACAGATGCGCACCCGGAGGCCACCTCAGCCGGTCGTTCATGCAGTCAACGCACATTTATTGACCAGTGACTCCGAGCCGGTCCCTGGGGGCCCGGGAACGCGGTGGCATCACACGCAGACCCAGCCCGCGGCGGGCCTCGCAGGCTGGGCGGTCATCATGTCCACGGCACGCATGATACAGTGTGGTCAGTGTGGCGTCAGAGGTAGCACTGGTGACTGTGGGAGCACAGGGGGAGTGGGGCGGGGGGAGCCCGGCCGGCCGGGTCGGCAGGGGAAGGGGACTTCCTGGAGGAGGCAACACCTGAAGAAGACGTCTGGGAATGTGTGGAGGAGGGGGCTTTTGGGGCGGGGTCAGCAGGCGCTAGGGCGCTGGGGGGGCTAAGCAGCTCGCCCACTGGGGGCCAGCGTGGACCGGGAGGGGCGTCTGCCCTGGAGTCCGAGCCTGCCGGGAGCCCCAGGGTGACGCGCTCAGCAGGGCGGTGGGGGGGGCGCG